AATTGTATTTCCTTAAAAAGTCCAATCCGAGTATGCATGGATCTGTGATATCCGCCACATAAGCCGTGTGATGGTAGGCGGCATTTCCAAATGTGATGCTTACGTTTAACTTCCCAGTTATGTCGATCTTATTACCAGACGCAGTCTGAAGGGTAACACAGGATGGCGTCCAAATAAGTTTATCTTTAAACTGTTCAGCTAAATCTTTCCTAATGATGGTAACATTAGCTCCTGTGTCAATGATCATATTGCAAGGAACTCCATCGATATTCCCATTAATGGACATTCCTTTACTGTTGCCACTCACTGTATAAATTTTAAGCACGTTAAAACAAGGTTTTTCATTATCTGGCAACCTCCGTTCCTCGATATGGTCACTAATTTGTTTACTGCGTCGTTGCTGGGAAATGGTCTTATTTTCCGTACCTCGGGGTGTTCTGCAGTTTCTTCGTATGTGGCCTTCAACTCCGCAGTTCCAGCACTTTAGAATTAGTTTCTTTTCACTTCTGTTCCGTCTCAAGCCACTGACTTGTCTAGTAAAATCATCTGCTTTATATTCCGTACCCTGGGGTGTTCTGCATTTCCGTCTTAGGTGACCTTCACTACCACATCTCCAACACCTTAGAGTCACTTTCTTCTCGCTCCTACTCCGTATCAAAGCGTCGACTTGTCTGGCTAAATCATCTAAACGAGCCATCAGTTGATCCACTGGCTCATGGACTTGCACAGCTCTAACTGGGTAGCGATCGCTACTAGTTGCTTGCTGGGCTGCCTCGAACTTCATGGCATACAACAGAGCACTTTTTATGTCCTTTACATATGCCATTCGAAGAGCTTTCTGTATTTCAGGGTCCCGGATGCCATCGATGAAATATTGCAGGGACAGGATTTCCCTTGTTTCTGTCGGGCACTCCGAAAAGGCGTGATGTGACAGCCTTTCAACATCCGTGGCGAGCTCCTGAAGTGTTTCGGTGAGCTTCTGTTGACGGGATTTTAATCGGAACCTGTTGTAGTCTTTTAAACATTTCTCGCCGAAGTGCAGCTCCAAAGTGCCGGATAGAGCTTCGAAATCTAGCCTTTGATTTTCGGGAAACGTCTGCAGGATATCCGCTGCATCTGCTCTCAGAGAAGCGGCGAGATGACAGGCCTTAGCTTGGGAGTCCCATCCATTCGCATCCGCAACGATAGAAAACTGGGTCTTATACACTTGCCAGGATGTCTTCCCATCATATGTGGATAGCTTCAGAGATGGACGACCAGAGATGGACCGTCACTACCAATTTTTTTTAAGTTTCCATTTCTTTGGCAACTGCAGAAACTCTCTTCAATTTGTTGTTGGACGGCCGAAACTCTTCCTTCGACTCGTTGCTCCACAGCCGACACTCTATCTTCTATTTCATCTTTGACAGAAGAAACCTTTTCTTCAATTTGCCCGACTTTATCTTCGACAGCTCCTATTCTGTCTTCCATAGCCTCAAATTTACTTTCTATTATGCAGGTTATTTCTCTTTTCATTTCATCTTGACCTGCTTCAATCTTTTCTTGTACAGCTTTTATATCTTCTTTAAAAGTTACTTGACCAGCTTCCAACTTTTCGTGAACGGCTTCCATTTCCTTTTTAACGGATTCTTCCATCTTTTCCTGACCAGATTTCATATCATATTTCATTTCTTCTTTAAATGCAGCAAAGGCTGATATCAGCTGTCTTAACTGCTCTTCCATCGCTCTTGTGATTTGGCATTCAAACCCCACTCCTGATACCAAAAATTGTTGTGTGCGTACGGGTTCGTTATGAAATGAATGCACAAGTCTGATGCAAAAATGAACAAAAATTTATTATTATCACAACAAAAATGCTTAAATCTTCTCAAATTATCATGCAGTATTACAATATCTCACAGTAGTAATCTTTTAACTACTCAAATGTCCAAAAGAACGTAATTCAAAACAGCCGCGAATTCGCTACAATCAACAAGAGCAATTTTCTAAACAACAACAAACTAAGCAACTATTACGAACTGAGAGGTTTTCCTCCTTTTATAAGATTTTAAAATCACGCGCTAGAATTTTCCAGTACTTTCTCGAAATCAAAAAGAGATATTTATTTATTTAATGCACACGCTCTTGTATTTTCAATTTTCCGGCTTAGATTTCTTTTAATATTCGTCACGCACTGCACTGCGCGAGAAATAAAACCATTTAATTTATAATTGAACTAACATTAGCTTTTTAAATACCAAATTCTATTTTACAAATGCTGCATATTTTACAAATTTTACAAATGCAAATTAAAATTTTTAGAACTTCTTAGACAATTTCTCTATTTTTGTACGAGCTTTTTAGGTCATTATTGTAAAAATGCCAAAATTATATCCTTTTTGGCAATAATCCATAAGGTAGGGATTCTAAACTGGTAAAATAGAATCCCCTGCCTCGAGGGAAATCTGCACATCATAAATCTAATAAAAACACAGATATTTTAAACCAAATAAAAATGTCTTCAAGATGCTTTTGTTCATGACCTTTATCTACAGTACTAATGCTTCTATGATGTAACCTATGCCGGTGCTTGCATTTTGGGGGGGGGGGTCACTATGTGGGTCAGGCTGCACGACATTTGTGCCTCTTTTGGTAAATTGTTTTTTTTTTTTTTTTTTTCTGTTCATTCTTCTGTCAGCATTTGTAGTTACTGCCCTTGAGTTTCTTTTTATATCACTTTTATACACTTTATATATATGAATCCATTGTACAGAGAATAAATTACTGCAGTTAAAATATTTTATACATTAATGCAAAGAAGGTCCCTTAGAAAGTCTTCTAAAGCAAGTCTCCTTTTAGGCAGCTAGCCATCGCCTGCTTTGCTTTTTTAAAAATGCTTTGCTAATTTAAAAAAAACTACTCATGCAATTTTTACAAAACTTGGCACTTTGGCTTAATTTGAGTCATAGAATTGAAATATAGAAAAAAAAAAATCGGTATGTCATTTCAGAAAAAGTCTGATTTTGTATCAAAATAGCTATGCTAGAACAATGCTATATATAAATATCAAATATTCAAAAATGAGACCACAGCTTTTTACTTGTAATCGAGTTTTGACAAATGATTTTATGAAACCCTGAAAGGTGAAGCAACATTTTCAGAATGTTCAGCCTCACTGAGTTTAAGTATGTTTTTTTTTTTTTAGGTATCTTGAGACTGCTTCACAAAAGTTACTGAGCTTCTTATGAATATAAATGCAAAATATGTTTTCTGCAAAATGACAATGTGTTGACTTGAATCACTATGAATTCCATCCCTTTGTACACTGCCCAGGGGGAAAAAAAATTGACAATTCTATATCTCCCATTCTACTGGGCCACTTGACGAAATTCAAATTGCATTTTTCATGCCTTGCAAGTGTGACGTATGATAGATATTACATTTATATACAGCATTATTCTAACATAGGTATTTTGATGCAAAGTTGGACTTTTTCTGAAATGACATGCCAATTTTTTCTATATTTTGATTCCACAACTCAAATTATGACTAAATATTAGGTATTGTAAAAATTGATGCGAAATTTATAGAGAAATTAAAAAATTTAACTTTGCCCTTTTTTTCATTTTGCGCCAAGAATAATTCACTTGGAGAACTTCTTAATTTATAGCAACCTATTTTCCTTTCCTTTTTTTTATTGTACCTCAGTAGAAAAAGTCATCTTTCATTACTTTCAAGTTATTTTAACAAAGTAGTTAAACCGCATTTGACATTATTATCGCTTATAATGAATATGCCAAATTTCAAAATGTGCCGATATGTAAATTCATGTATATTTTAGGAAATTTTGAATAAAAAAACACTATTTTTTTTGGCAGGTATGTGTAGAAATACATCTACTTTAAGATGTTAAAATTTTGATAGGTTATAGTACAAAACGTTTTTTTGAAAAATTTGTAAAAAATATTTAAAAATAAATCATACAAAATGTGTGAATTATATCTGGATTAAGTCTAAATTTTGAATTCTGGAAAAAGGAAACTAGTAATTTTAATAAAAAAAAGAGATATAAGTAAATATATATCAAATTCAATTAACATAGAGGAGCTAAAATTTTGAGAGCTAATTTAAAAAAAAAAAAAAACTGCTCATGCAATTTTTACAACACTTGCACTTTGGCTTAATTTGAGTCATAGAATTGAAATATAGAAAAAAAAAATCGGTATGTTATTTCAGAAAAGGTCTGATTTTGTATCAAAATACGTATACTAGAACAATGCTATATATAAATCTAAAGACATATAAGTTGCACTTGTGCTGTGTACATAAGCCTATATGGGTAAATATTACTAAGCTAGTGAAAAAGAAATTCAGTATGAATAATTTGCAAGGGTGTTTAATTCCTGAGATTAATTTTTACCAACTTTTTATGCATTTTTATGTTTATAATTTTTTTAAATGTTCCTGTACTTTATTAATTTGCAAATATAGAATCATGTATATTTTAAGTTTTGATTTGTTATTAATCTGCAGTATAACGCGATTATTAATGTGGAACAGATTAGATAATAGAATTATTTTTTTGAGAAATTTCAACTTATTATAGTTATCAAAGAAATATTCTGACTTGAAGAATAGTAAAAATGCCTATATTTTTCAACTGTGTATGCTAGGCTCAGTATGTGTCACTCTTGAATTGATTCACATGTGGGTGATAATTGTTCATAGCTGTTTGTGCAGTTTTCAAGATGAACACACACACACACAAAAAAAAAAAAAAAAGAAAAAGAAAAAAGAAAATAAAGAAAGAAACTCGCATGTGAGAATAAAATAGGAAACATTTTCCTTAGCTAAAATATTTTACATGTTTTCCACAGAAGTACCAGGTAAAATGTATAGCAACACTAAATTTGCTTTTTGGTAATAATATTAAATATTTAATAAGGAAATATAAACAACATAACATCCAAAATTTTCGAAGGACTAAATATTAATATGTATGTGTACTTACCACTTTTCAGGATGCCAAAGTCATGTCATGGTGGGATTATGGTTATCAGATTACAGCAATGGCTAATCGAAGTATATTGGTGGACAACAATACCTGGAATAATACTCATATATCTCGAGTTGGACAAGCAATGGCTTCTTCAGAGGAAAAAGCTTATGAAATAATGAGGGAACTTGACGTGAATTATGTTTTAGTTATCTTTGGCGGTCTTACTGGATATTCATCTGATGGTAATTGTTTTAAAATGCTTGTTGCAAAATGTTCATAAACTTTTGTAAAGTTTTCCTCTTTTTATCTCATACACAGCAAATGTTGAATTTAGAAGTCGAACAACAAAAATCAAGCAATCATTTTGTTGTTTGACTTCTAAATGAATACTTGTTTGGTGTGTTATTTTTACCTAAACAGCAAATATGTTTTGCTCTAACGTGCTGAATTTTATTTCTATGTGTGAACACTTTAAAATACAAATATTAGTAATTTTTTTAAGTTTTTCTTTTTTTCATTACTAAATGAAGCACTGTGTCATACATGACACACTCATTACAATGAGTGATAACGGCTCTTTAGTTTTCCCTTTATGTATGCTATCAGTATGTGTGTAAATTTCAGATGCTCAACTGAAAATATTGCAAATAATTCAGGGGGTATTTTTGTAATGACCTGCCCAAAGAGTGCTTTCTGGGATCAAGTAAAAATAGTTTTAATGTAGTGCTGTTATTTTTTTCAAGTGTGTATTTATCATTCATTTTTCATAACAATTTCTTAACCCTTTGGCAGTGATTAAGCAATTCATACTTTGCAAATGTACACAAAATCTGTCGGTCATAAATTTGCGATGCTTTTTCTGTTCATTTGTACCCACTGTGGTGCGTCTAGAATGTAAGCTGAATTCATTCATGACCATCAAAAGGTTAATACTATATTCGAATAGTGGCAAACTTCTACACCTCTGAAGGCCTATTTAAAATGAAGGCTGGCTCCATAGGTCACACAATATGTTTTGTTTAGTATTTAGAAGAGCATTTTGAAATGATAGTCATTCTGTATATATTAATTATGTGCATGTTTATCTAATATCTCTATAAAGTTAAAAACATCATTAAAATTTTTTCCAATGGCAGAATGAAAAATTTTAAGTGGTAGCTGTTCAAAATTATTAATTCATTGTCAGCCACATGCTGTCATTACATCCTTGAAATTAATGGCAGTTTAATGTTTAACGGTAGTTTGATATGTTCATTGCCTAGTGCGATTGAGTTGAGTTTCTCACGGGACCAAATCTTTTTGGAGGGGGCAACTAATATTCAGGCAATACATACCAACAAAATCCCTTAAATATGGTATAAAATCTATTCGAACTGTGCTCCTACGAAGGATACACGTGGTCTGCAAAAATATTTTCTGGGAAAACGGAAGAAAGCAAGTTGGCATAGCTGAATGAACTTGCAGATAAATTACTAAATGAAGGACAGACTTTGTTTGCCGACTACTTTTACATGAGCTATGTCTTAACTTAGATTTTTAATTTTTAAAATGCATGTCATTGGAACTGTACAGCAGAACAAAAAAATTATGCCGCATTTTGTAATGTCGTACCCATTAAAGAAGATGAATTAATAGCATGAGAAGATGACAACAGTATTGTGGTGCTAAAATGGAGAGATGTTCATGATGTTAGAATATTATCGACAAAACATGCCATTATGACTTCAAGCTCAGATTCTACTCACTGCGTGTGTCCTCCGAAACAGAAATTTTTGGCAGTAATGCCATATAATAATAGAAAAACTGGTATCGATATAGGAGCAACCATATGTCATATACTACAATAGTATGGAAATACATCAAGTGGTATTGGAAACTGGCACTACATTTACCCTTAGGAACAACTATAGAAGATGCTCATATCATATACCAGAGAGCCACAAATAAAAAAAATACAGATAAGAAAATTTCGGGAATTTCTCATTGCGAAATTATTTTCCTGGGAAAATACTTTGCCTGACAATTATAGAAACAAAACGAAGAAAGTGTTTCACCATTTAGAGATTCATAAGAATCAACAGGAGAAGCCTATAAGAAGGATGTACAACACCCAATATTACCAGAAGAGGCAAACACCAGGAAATTAGAAAAAATAAAATTTAAAGAAAAAAAAAAAAAAAACTACGACCCCTTGTTCCAACTGTCCAAAATCACCTTAGATGTGTTTACACTGTTTTAACAAATATCATGTGCCGTAATATAGCGTTCTAATTTTATCCTAAATATAAGGTATAAAAAGTATAGTATAATATGTATCTTTCACATATTTTTATGTTGTATATTCTATATTTATATTTCTGTTTGTATTCCATTATGTATCTTATAAAAATCCAGCTGAAAATCCGATAAAAAGATGGATTTATAAGCCACCATTCAATGCAAATAGACAAATTTATTTATTATATATATTAATATGAGGCTTGGTGGGCAGCAGCGTCACAGGTCCGGGGTTCGAACCCTGGGCTGGGCAAGGTCAACTCGGGCTTCCCTTGATTTCCATCCCTTGGATCGTTAAAATGAGTACCAAGTTTGCTTGGGGGCTAAATACTGGGGGGTCCTGCGACAAGCTGACCACTTATTCAGGGCATATGCTTATACATCTCAGGGCCCACGGTCAAGAAAGCAAATTTCAGGCAGTTAGCCTTCGAGGCTTTGCCATAATTAAATAACCTAACTCAGTTAAAGTAGCTGTTATTTGAAAACCATTTATTTTTTGGACTCAAAGTAGACTGACTGCATGATTTTTTACCTTTATCCGAAATGTTGATATGAGCCAGTTTCCCTTTCATTTCATTGTTATTTGTCCTATAAAGGGAGCTTACTGCATGAGTTCTTTTGGTTTTTCAATGTAAAGCGCTGTTATGAGCCATTCCCCCCCCAGAAAATCTTCCACGAAATTTCTCCATTGGTATTGGGTCAATAGCACTTGTATGCCTTTTTTAAATCAATTCTCTCTCAAGTGGGTGTCATGTAAAAATAAGAGAAAGGAACACATTTAAAAAATGTATTAAAAAGAGAAATAATTTATTTGCTTGGAAAGCTCTTATTCCTTAAAAAAAAAGTATCAAACATCACCTAAGTGAGAGAAAACTGAATATATATCAGCCATTTTATTAGTGTAGCTTCTGGGTATCAATGTGCATCAAAGTGACAATCGGTTTTGTGCCCTTTATACTGTAAGAGTACAAGTGTTATACAACATGTCATGTAATAATTTGCTGTCTAGATTCATATAATCAGGTGTGTAACCTTACACACCTCATCATATTCCAAATATAATAAATTTTTGAAGTCACACTTCCTGTGTATTTGAGATCACGTTAATCCTTAGATTTCAGTTTGATGTTAAAAACGCATGCTTACCGAAAGCAATGCTGCATCACCAAATTAGTTTTAAGGTACGTGAGTGTTACCCAAAGTATAAGGAGCTAATCCGCGATTGGTTAATTTGACATTGTTACATAACATAGAAGATTCTCTAATTTGGAAGAACAGATGAATTTAGGAGAAGAGCACCAAATCTAGAATGTTAATTTTGAGGTTGCCAATTGTTTTTAAAACAGCTATTGTATTTTCTTATAACATGTGTTGCATGTTATTTCTTACATGTCCCCCCCTTTTCAAAAGAAAGGTTGGGAGAGCAAGGTGGCAGGAAATCATTAGTGAATTAGCGAAGAAAGAGAAAGTTTATTATACGAGGAAAGACATGAGGAATCATCAAGGACATAGCCTACAGGTTTTCCTATGCCCCCTCGTGATTCATGACCTTTCTCATATACAGATTGTGAAATGTGTAACATATAATTTACACTATTACAATAACAATTTCTAAATAAACTAACTAAAATTAAGGCTAGTATAATTTTAGAAGTGCTTTAGTCCTTTGAAAAAATGTCCAGTGTCTTTGAATGTGCAATGAAAATTTTGTAAAATTTGTTGACTAAAGTAATTCCACCGGGTAAATGTTCAAAGTTCACTAAAATTCTTTAAAATAAATGTTCACATGTTTTTCATAAGGTAATGTTTACTAAAAAGTCTCAAATCCTAGTTGATGAAAACATTTCCATTATAATACAGATTGAGTTGTCAGCTTTCATATAGAAATGTACATAACATAATAATATAATGCAATAATAATATAATAATATAAACACATAATAATATAAACATAATAATATAATGCAATACTAAATAATACTTTGAATATTATTTTGGCATGCCCTTTCCAACAAAATCAGCATATCACCTTGCTGATGGGGGTGCTTAAGTACAATAGTTCAAAAATCCTCCTTTCCTTAGAAAAAGTAACTGGTTTTTGGTATTGTATAATTGTCAGTTTTCTATCTCAAAAATGTTTCATATTACTCAATAATAATACAACATTATACAAAATTAAGACTGAAATTAAAGACAACTTGTATAATCAAGTTAGTCTTTTTTAATTTTGGAAAAACATAATTAAATATTACACTACAATAAGAAGAAAGAAAATTTTTGTTTTAAAATTTGAGTGTGTGTGGTAGCTCTTCTGTGCTAAACTGTGGTCAGAGGTAAGAATATAGAAAAATGCAAGTCAGTCTCATGGCCATAGTTGAATCTTCTAACAACAAACGGGGGGGGGGGGAGATTTAGGGAGGTGTTAGGAGTGTTCTAGGGGGACAGCGGGCAAGTGCTACCACTTCTTGTATCCTGCTTAAAGAGAGGATGCAAGAAGTAATACCCATAGTGTGAAACCTAGTGTTGGAAAAAAAAATAAAAGCATTTGTCTTTGAATGAAAAATATTGTATTGAATCCACATTTTTCAAAATGCGGTGGTACAGTTTATTCTGTCATCATCTTCTGGGCTATGGAAGACATGCTGAACAAATTTTGAATGGAAAACTCTGGGAAGAAGGAAAGGAGCCAGAATGGGAAAGGTCAAAATCAGGAAAAATAATTTGTCATAGTTAGGGTTTAAAGTCTAAATCAGATATTAAATATCATAATCTGGAAAAAATTAATGCAGAATTTTGCAAAATTAAAAATAAATTAATTTTGGACAGAGACAGGAATTCTACCATTTCTAATAGTTAATTTAAACACACTAGCTGGATTAAAAGGTCTGAGTCTTGTAGAATGAGCAATATCTGATTTCTTTTTAGTTAGAGGATTAGGCTTATCAATTTCAAAAGTAACTACAGAATATTGTTTTAAAATTTTGTAAGGGCTTGGAAAAGGATAGAGAGATTTATGGGTATTAGGATATTGAAATTCTTCACACATTACTAATCACCTATTTTAAAATTACTACATTTATAATGAGTATCACATTTTTCTTTATTTACATTGGATTTCGAATCCTGTGAACTTTTTCACGCAATTGAAACCTGGATCTCTTAACAGCTTTCGATAACAGTCATGGCTGGTGGCTAAGGTATACAGGTGAAGGCAACGAAACTGGATTTCGACAAATCACAAGTCTTTATTTTCACATGTATCCTTTAATTTGGCAGATACTTATTCAATCATAATTAAATATAATAAATTTCTATGTACATTGGCTTTTTAAAAAGAAATGACATAGTCAGGTAAGAAGCAAAGTGATGGGGATGTGTTAGCAGTGGCGAAGTTAACAAAAGAATTGTGTAATTTTTTGAGCCAAGAGTATTTATACCAAGTCTGTGATGTAAGTATAGCTAATCTATGATTGGCTAATTTGACATTGTTACATAATATAGAAGATTCTCAAATTTGACAGAACAGATGAATTTAGGTGGAGAGCACCAAATCTAGAGTTAATTTTGAGGTCGCTAATTGTTTTTAAAACAGCTATCATATTTTCTTATATCTTACATATATATATGGGAAGCTGATTCAGCAAATACCTAGTGAGGTGACGTCATCTGATGCTAGCATAGTGCAGCTTGCAGAGGCAGACGAGCACTAAACCTGCTGCGAACAAGGTTCCTTTGAGGCTTAGGTTCTGGGTCCAAGTGGACGATGCTTGTCTATAGCTAGCCATTGATGAGAATAGATGTAGTCTGTCAAGGCATGAGCTTGCATGCCTGTAGGACTGTTAGATACTGATAGTTTGCAAGAATTACTCAGTATTACATCAACTGTTGTGGACTTCCAAATCTTTGTGGGGTTACAGCTCTTTATGTAAATTTCATCTATCACCAGTAATATGTTCATTTTCAGCATTTTATTTTACTTTCATTCATATTAGTAATCTCATAGTAAGGTAGTTTAGTTATGTTTTAACTCATGCTGTATGTGCATTTTTCATGTTATGGGTAACCTCTCTCTCTCTCTCTCTCTCACACACACACACACACACATATATATACACTGAAGTGACAAAAGTCATGGGATAGCAATATGCAAATATACAGATGGCAGTAGTATCACGTAGAAAATGTATAAATGCGAAGTGCTTTGACAGGGCTTTCATTTGTGTTCAAGTTGTTCATGTGAAGAGGCTTTGACGTGATTATGGCCGCATGACGAGAATTAAGACTTTGAACGCGGAATGGTAGTTGGAACTAGGCGAATGGGTCATTCCATTTCGGATATCGTTAGGGAATTCAACATTCCAAGATCCACAGTGTCAAGAGCGTGCCGAGAGTATCTAATTTCAGACATAACATCCCACCATGGAGAGCGCAGCGGCCGACAACCTGCACTTAACGACCGAGACCAGCGATGTCTGCATAGAGTTGTAAATGTTCACAGACAAGCAACACTGCATCAAATAACCACAGAAATCAATGTGGGATGTACAAGGGACGTGTCTGATAGGACAGTGTGGCAAAATTTGTCTTCCTTGGGCTATGACAGCAGAAGATCGACTCGAGTGCCTTTACTGACAGCACGACATCACCTGCAGCGACTCTCGTGGGCTCGTGAGCATATTGGTTGGTCCCTAAACGAATGGAAAACCGTGGCTTGGTCAGATGAGTCATGATTTCAGTTGGTAAGAGCTGATGGTAGGGTTCGAGTGTGGCGCAGACCCCACGAAGCCATGGACCAAAGTTGTCAACAAGGCACCGTTCAAGCTGGTGGTGGTTCCATGATGGTCTGGGCTGTTTTTACATGGCATGGACTCTGTCCTCTGGTGCAACTGAACCGATCATTGACTGGAAATAGATACCTTCAGCTACTTGGAGATCACTTATAGCCATTCATGGACTTCACGTACTCTAACAACGATGGGATTTTTATGGATGACAATGCGCCATGTCACCGGGCCACAATTGTTCGCGATTGGTTAGAAGAACATTCTGGACAGTTCCAGCAAATGATCTGGCCACCTAGATCGCCCAACATGAATCCCATCGAACATTTATGGGACATCATCGAGAGGTCAGTTCGTGCCCAAAACCCTGTACTGTCAACACTTATGAACGTCTATAGTGGCAGCATGGCTCAATATTCCTGCAGGGGACTTCCAATGACTTGTTGAGTCCATGCCACGTCGAGTTGCTGCACTTCACCGGGCAAAAGGAGGACTGACAAAATATTAGGAGGTATTCCATGACTTTTGTCACTTCAGTGTATATATATAATATATTCAGGAGCATGAATTTTGATGGCGTAGAAGTGTTGATCCATAATTGCAATATGTTGTTGCTACACACAAGTCGGCACATTTCCAAAAGGCTTACATTCTTGATAGATTTGCAGCAAAAAAGAAGACAGACTGCAATCCATCTAAGGCAAAGCATAGAAATAAAGGGCATAATGTTCAGGATGAAATCTTAAGTTAAACTGAGTTTCGGTTCTCAAAGCATTTTGATTGAATAGTTAATATTGCTGTAAAATTATTATTGGCTGCTTGAGTTTTAGTTCAATTTACATCACCAGAATTATGTAAGAGTGATATGACACAGATTTTTCTCGAAATGACGCAGTTGAAATAGATGCTGCTATTTTTAGAATAGAGAAGGGAAATTAATCTTTTACATATTCTTTATTTTTCTTACATTTACATATATATATATACGATTTTATTCATCACTTTTATATAAAATCACAAAAACATGAAGGAATTTTTTTTAAAGCATATGTATCTCGTCTCTGATATATAGAGATATCAGATATTCATAGAGTTTTTAACATTCAGAAAGTTCAATTTTGGTAAATTAAATTATAGTTTAATATGTAAAAAACCAGCAACTTGCAACTTGGATTGTATTCCTCTTGATTTCATAACTTTATTATTGTTCCCATTTGTCACTGAAACTTTTAAACACAATCAAATTTCATTACAATTTGCATTTAAAGAATGGTTTTGTTTTTTAATATTTATGTGTTATAAAATTATTTAATATATAACAAGTTTTTTTTTGAACTGTTTGAATAAGAAGGTATATTTTATTCTGTGTGTTAAAAACGCTACCCGACATTTAAAAAAGCAACACCGAGAAGGAGTGGCCTGAAAATTATGCAAATTTCAAGATTGATGCACATCACTGAGTTATGCAAATGATGTGAAATGTGCAGCTCTCCAGTGCACATGAAGATGATATAAGAGAAGGAACCTGCAGTGTTCAATTTTTTGCTAGAGAAACAATCGTAGAAAATTTGTTCTTTTTTCGCTGATGACACACTTAATAGCAGAGAATGCCAGGTTGTCTTAAACGGAGGTAGTTTTAGCAGACAGATGGTTTTAGGAAGGGCATGGTGATTGGATTGTGAAGGGCAGGTTGGTCCATACAATCAGATCTTAGTTGACACACACCTGGATGCATCCATCGTGCACCGTCTATGGCGACGATGGTTGGAGCAAGGAAATGTGGCAAATTCGAGGAGTGCCGGTACAGACAAAGTGATGTGAGCATGCATGGACCAACGTATCCACTGACAACTGGTGGTGCACTTACAAGCCACTTCTGCCTCCATTTTGCATTTATGTATTTACACTAACAAAGTTTTTTTGCATTGTCACTAAATATTTTTTCTATTTTACCTTGTCGGGCAAAGAACCTCTTCAGACAAGTAGTGAATGCTTCTGCGGTTAAGTCATTGACAATCTCTAGATGGATTGCTTTTGTCACCATACAAACAAAAATACAAACATTATCTTATGATAGTTACCCTTGCATTGCCCTTTGTACTTTATCAAAAATGGGCCGCAATAATCAATAGCACAACAATTAAATGTAAAGTTAATATTAATTCTCTCTTTAGGTAATTCTCCCGGTTGTTGAGAAATTATTGGTTTTGCTTTAAAGCAAATTATGCAGTTTTGGACTATCTTTCTAGCTATATTCTTGCCATAAATGGGCCAATAAATTTGTCTAATAGAATTTAATAGTGATTGTGAACCATTATGAAAATGCTTTTCATGAAAATAAATAAATATAAGTTCAGTTAACTTATTCTTGGCAGGCAAAATTCAAGCCACCCTGGAATACTCCCATATTGACCAGAAACATTTGTCATCAAATGGTGGCTAGTGGCCTGCACTCGTGGTGTCCATTAAGAAGACTGCCCATTGACCCCGTATCATAGATGCCAAAGTCTGTAGTGGTGCCGAGATCGTTCAATAAATTCTCTAAATTTTATACAGTATTAATAGTACTTGGAATTGTGATTGTAAATTATTGCTTTTGTGCTGTGAATTCTGAGATATGTACTTTGAATATTTTTACAATGCATTCATTACAAGTTTTGTTTCATTCTTAATTACAGATATAAATAAATTTTTATGGATGGTGAGGATTGGGGGAAGCACTGAGCGTGGTAAACATATCAAAGAGAATGATTATTATACATCATCTGGTGAATTCCGCATTGATAGAGAAGGTTCACCTGTTCTTCTAAATTGTTTAATGTACAAAATGTGCTACTATAGGTTTGGATCTGTTTACACAGAAGCAGGTATTGATTTTTGCATAATATCAATTTTTGTATGTGTGTTTATTTTTTTTATACTTATTAAAGTATAGCAGATTTGTTTTATTTTTGATGATTTAATGTGATGAAACATTTTTATTTGCTAATTAGGAAGTATGTTTTTTTTAATAAGCTTGAAAATCATTAATCCCATTTTTATTAAATTAATGTCAAACAAATGTAGGAATCGGTCATAATAGCTTATTTAAAATATGTAATCTATATGTAAGAGTTAAACACTGGTTAGTTCTATTTAGTAAACAAGCTGATTGCTTGGGTGTTCAAATGACTTCTGTGAGATGTGATATAAATACCAGCCAGTTTTCCTTATAAAGACCTCCAAGAGGTCTTTCCTTCTTTTAGGCAGATAGACCTCCTATACTTTGCCTTGACTAAATGAACTATATTTTAAATTTAATTTAATCATTTAGTATTTAATAATTTAGTCTCAAGATATGAAAATAGGAAATGACAAAAAAAAAAAAAAAATCTTAACACCAAGGAAAAATTATTGTAATGAAATTTGGACAATGCATTTGTCTAGTTAACGTGTTTAATTGATTAAATTTTCAAGATCACAGGTTAATAAGCTCAAGAAAATGCATTTCAGATCTGAAATACTGTTACATTAATAATCGGTGTTACCTCCAGAATTTTGAACACAAGCCTGCATACGTGCATGTATTGTGTCATACAGGTGCCGAATGTCTCTTTGTGGGTGGAGTTCCATGCTTGTTGTACTTGTTCTGTCAATATTGGGATGGTTAGTGCTGGCTGTGGATGATGCTGAAGTTGTCGTCCAATGATATCCCATTCATGCTCAATTGAAAACAGAGCTGGTGATCTCACAGGCCATGGTAACATGTTGACACTCTGTAGAGCATGTTGCATTATAACAGCAGTAAGAAGGAGAACATTATCCTGTTGGAAAACTTCCCCTTGAATGCTGTTCATGAAAGGCAGCAATGCAGGTTGAATTACCAGACTGAGGTACAAATTTGCAGTGAGTGTGTTTTGGATAACCATGAGTGTACTCCTGCTGTCATAGGAAATTGCTCCTCAGACCATGACTCCAAGTGTAGATACAGTGTGTCTGGGCTGCAGACAGTCTGGTTGCAGGCGTTCCCCTGGCCTTCTCCTGACCAACACACGGCTATCTCTGACACCAAAGCAGAACCTGCTTTCATCAGTAAGCATAACAAATCTCCACTCAATCCTCCAATGAGCTCTGGTTTGACACCACTGGAGTCGCAAACGACAATATCTTGGAGTCAGTGGAATGCACGCTACAGGGCGCCTGTCTCGGAGCTGTCCTTGAAGTAACCAATTTGTAACAGTTCGTTGTGTCACTGTGCTACCAACTGCATCTCGAATTTCTATTGCAAATGCAGTACAATGCACCACAGCCGTTCGCCGAATACTGTGGTCTTCCCTCTCAGTAGTTCCACATGGCCTCCCGGAACCCGGTCTTCTTGAAGCAGTACCTTCATTTGACCACTACTGCCAACAATCATGCACAGTAGATACATTCCAGCCAAGTCTTTCTGCAACACCGCAGAAAGAAAATTCACCTTCTCGTAGCCCTATTACACATCCTTGTTCAAACTTGGTGAGCCGTTGATAATGGCTTCTACATCTTCTTAAAGGCAACATCAATTCAATACGTCAAATTTCTAAGATAAATAATGCTCATGAACTTTACAGCACGCATTTAAAGCAAACTTGATTTGCAAGTTCTGAGTGGCACTACTAGTGTCACACTTGTGCACAAAGCACAAAATTTGAATTTATCTTTCAGATGTATAAACATGAATACCGAATTTTGTTTATCTAACACAAGTCTTTCTTGGTGTTGAGATTTTTTTTTTCCATCAATGTATATAATTAAAATCAGTTTGTTCCTTTGAAACTAACAAATCTTTTGAAATCAGTATTTCAGTGGTCATTTAATTTGAATTTATCTTTCAGATGGTAATTGGTAATTTGGTAATTTGAATTTATCTTTCAGATGTATAAACATGAATACCGAATTGTGTTTATCTAACACAAGTCTTTCTTGGTGTTGGGATTTTTTTTTCCATCAATGTATATAATTAAAATCAGTTTGTTCCTTTGAAACTGACAAATCTTTTGAAATCAGTATTTCAGTGGTCATGAACAAACAGTATTGAATGCAAAGTTTCACAAGTTTCCTTTTTCAAAATTCACTGATTTCCTTTTCTGAAGTGCCCAAGTTTGAATGTGAAATAAAATTTCATAGATTTTCTTTGTGGGAGTGTTGTATAAAACTTCATAATTGTAAAATGTCAAATGATGGATGTTGTAACAGTTGTCATTTATTGTCTTAAAAAAGAATATTGCACAACTTTAACATTGACTCATCTAGCTTGTTTCCCTGTTTGAAATGTTGTATTAGCTTTGAATTTAATTAATTGGAGAAAGTAAGTAAAAATCCACAAATTCTCATCATTGCACTAAATTAATGTAATTACAATTAATTTAGTTTAAAAACTCGCATGATTTTCCTCTTCTAAGACAGGAATCTTCTTTTCTACTTTATTACTAAAATATTACATATGTGTTTATAGAGTTTAATGTACTTTTGTTAGGACTTATTTATATGAAAATGTGACTCATATTTGAAGTTTAAGTACTTGTATGTTCAATGCAAATTAATTACTTATTTCTAATGATATTGTGTTTAATGCATAATGAACTTATTTGGAAACTAGAATGCTCCTCTTTGTCTTTAAATTTCTTCCAGTACAGCTTCATTTTATTGATTGTTATCTGCACTCCTCTCTGTATTTTCAAATCGTTTAAAGTTTGATTGCTGTTAGGTTTTTCAGTATAATAAACTAATAAAAAAATTTTCCTGTTAAATTAGAAAATTAGCAAAGCAACAACCTTGTGTTTGGCGTATATTTAGTCAATAACTCAAACCGATTTTTGACTTTGAGGGAAAAACAGGTACAGATCCTTCTTCATCATGATGAAAAAAAGTTCTGCAATACAGGGAAAGCCATGGTTGTATTTATACACCCAAAAAGAGTAAAGTGAACGAAAAGGTAGCACCATCTGCCGGCAGAAAGTAACAAAAATGAAAAAATGATGTTAATAGAATTTTAAAAGCATTAGGAAGGACTGGATTGAATCAAAGTCATTAACTAAACAAGATATATCTTTGTGAAAGTGAAAAGTTTCAAGAAAATCCAGTTCATCAAGGAAAGAAGCTTTTTGGGTAATTTTTGTAGACCCAAAGTCAAAATTGTGATTTAATTTCCAACTGTGGTTAACTATCAAAGACCATTTATTTGCCTTTTCAGACATAAGATACATGTTCCTTTTTGCGAAAATATAACATTCTTTTTGTTTGGATAATATATCTCAAACCACACTGCCAAGATATGCTAAAAATTACCCAAGAATTAAAGTCAAAAATGTAATCTTTAAGAATCAATTCATATGATTTATTGCTAGATGAGAAAATGACTTGGAAATTGAACTTCTGGAGCATCTGTGCAATTTTGTAACTGACAAGAGTAAAAATTTGAAGCATGACAAGGTTATTAATATTAGCATATTGTGTTATTTTGGTTTGAGATATATCAGCAAAACTAGAATAGCTTTAAAGTTTTGCAGCAAGGAACATAAAGCTTATATCCGAAAAGGCAAAATTAACAACTCCTCAAGTGCTGAAAGCAGTTGGAAATTTAATCATAATTTTGACTTTGGGACTGCAAAAATTATTCGAAAATGGTTCTTGCATTGATGAATTGGATTTCACTTTATCAAATATTTATTTTTTTTAGTTAATGACATTAATTCCAGTCTAGTCCTTGCTAATGCTTTTAAAATTCTGTTATCTGAATTTTTCAATTTTTATTACTATTTCTCCCAATAAGGGCACTATCTGAAAAGTATCATTTTGTTTGCTTTACTCCTTTTGAATATAAATACAATCGTGGCTTTCCCTTCATTGCAGATTCCTTTGCTTCTGATAAAGAGGGACCTGTACCTGTTTGCCTTCAAAATCGACAGTCTTGATTAAAATTTACACAAACACAAGGCTGTTGCTTTGTTAATTTTGTATTAGACTATGTTTGTATTTAATTTTATTTCAAAGATGTAAATTTTGTAAAAGCTAATTTTAATGACGGTAAAAATTTTTAGCAATTTTTAAATTAAAAATTTGTGAGGTTGTCACATGTGAATAGGAATTACGAACAAATCAGTATAAAATGTGTTTAAAAATCAATATCAAACATCAGTTTCCTTAATAAATGGAAGTGAGCAACCTGCAATATAGCACCTCTATTGATTCATGGTTGATACATTAGTATTATGAAGCTTGTAGTTACTGTGATTTATTTCGCCTTTGTGATATCTTTTTTTATCAAACACATATTCTATTTTCCACCGTCCCTTAAATTGCACACTTCTAGGAAATGAACAATGAGACTTGCAAAAGCAATATGATCAACTTTTGAAGTTGTATTACATGAATGATTGCAATTACTCTAAAAGCATTATGCCAATTTTATTGAATCCATAATTTACTTACAACAAACAAATGTATGCTAAAATGATTGTTTCTTCAATAACAAGGTATTTTATTTAGTGTCAAAGTGAAGTTAAGAATCGGGACTCTCCAGATGTTTTATAATGTGCAGGGGGGGAATCAAATGTGCACGTATGAAGCGTATAAGAGAAGCATTGTTGGTAGTTTTATTATCAGTTTAAATCTAGTAAAGTGGCATGTAGAAATTATAAAATTAAAAATATGAAATCATAATTTGTAAAATAATGAAGTATTTGTGTTCTAAGGGGTATCAAAATTTACAAAAAAAAAAAAAAAAAAAAAGCTTAATATTTATTTATTTACCTTATTAAACATTTCTTTCAATGTAAGTTGTTTAAGTTGCTTTGTTTTTTGCACTGATACTTTCTCTTTAATTATATAGACACACATAATCTCTTGTTTAGCTACATTGTTGAAGTCCAGTAACTGCTGTTTCGAGAATTCCGACTAACTTGTCAATAGAAAGTTTCTTGTTTTTAGTAACTTCTCTGTCACTTTCTTCACTATTGGTAGCAGTATTTTCTGAATCTAGAACCATATTACAGATTTTGCCATTCATTCATTGATTGATTATTGAGAAGCATTGTCATCACAATGAAAAACTTCTTTTATATCATCATTTATCATTTTATATTATCATCAAATTTAGCTATCTTTCAATATACATATTTGGCTATGCATCATGAACTTGCCGGCACTAGATATCTTATTGCCTGATGCCTGACTAGATTTAAACTGATAATGTCTCCGTGGGTCGTAAATTATGCGACTCGGTGCGGCCATACAAGCCCTGGCGCTTGTCCTGTATTTATATGTGAATAACAAATCAGTTATTCTTAATTCAAATAGCCCTAAATGTAATCTTTGGGTCTATTAGTATCATAAACAAAATCTATTTTTAGCATATGGAAAGAAATTTTTGGTAAATTCTTCCTCGTCAACTTATTTTAGTGCATTTAACTTAAATCTGTAATCATCACCAAGCGTAATGTCAACATAAAAGGTTACCACACTCCTTTATTATTTAATTACTAACATAAAAAACTTGTTTAGGCATCGCTACATGAGTCATTACTCGATTTGTCATGCTTTGATAAACATGCGGTGATAAAAGAAAAGTATAATAAATAATGATTCACTAGGTTGGCATCAGATCAATGATGTATCTATGTGGAATATTTCAGTTTGAGATATGTGCCAAGGAGATACGCAGCAACGGAGGCAAATTACTGATCATACAAATGTATGCTAAAATGATTGTTCTTCAATAACAAGGTATTTTATTTAGTGTCAAAGTGAAATTAAGAATCAGGACTCTCCGGATGTTTTATTATGCACAGGGGGGGGAATCATGCGCATGTGTAAAGTGTACAAGAGAAGCGTTGTTGGTAGTTTTGAAGTCCGGATTTTAGATCATTCCGGATAATGAACGTCTGGATTTCAGACTTTCTACTCTATTATCTATATTGTTAGTCAAGCTTGTGCAAGTATAGATTGGTTTTTGTTGTTTCTTTACGCTTTTTGCATTGCATTTCTTATAAAATATTATGCTAATTAAAAATTATGTAATTTTTTAATGAGTTTTACTGAAATTTTAGTAATTTCACACCAAATTGTTTAGTAAACCATTATTACAGCATAAAATTTTAAAAGATTCATTATACAACACTTTGTTTCCATGAACCGGGGGGAAGATAGCATTACATGCCAATGTTCCAAAAATGGAACAGCCCCAAAATCCATAGGCAGAATTTTTTTTTTTTATACTCCGTATGGGTGTATTCTAATGTGAATTTGATGAATTAATTGTGACCTTTATTTCTGGATCATAGTGCGGCATGAAAAAAGGTTAAAGTTAACTTCAAAGTTACTTTAAAAAATTTTATTATGTTAAGTTTGTTAACTAAACAAACTTTAAGAGTTAATTAATTTTAAATTGTTAAAAGTTCTTTATCTCTTTTAAAAGTTCCTTTATTAACATTGAACATTTTCTATACTTTACAAAATGGCATTCTGCACCATAGTAGATCTTTACCCATGTGCACTAGAGATGGAGGATGAAAAATTTCTATAAATTCTCTGGACGACTAAAGAGGCATGACACAAACTGAGCTCTGGTAGTTCAACCTGGGTTCAAATCCCAGCGAACCATCTGGCTGTGCGGAAGTTCTTGTGGTTTTTGTGATGTGTTAATGTGAATACGAGCCAGGTTCTTTTAAAAGTCATCAGGAATGTCATCCCTTCCCTTAGACAGATAATCCTTATATGCTTAACCATGATCCAAATAATCTAACCTAATAAATGTTGCCTTTCAATGAAGACAAAATATTATTTGTTTTTATTTCTATAGGCAAACCTCCTGGTTATGATCGTGTTCGAAATGCAGAAATTGGAAATAAAGATTTTGAACTAGATGTCCTGGAAGAAGCATATACAACAGAACACTGGCTAGTTAGAATATATAAAGTAAAAGATCTGCCTAATAGAGGTGTGTAACATGGACAAGTTAATAGTACATGTTTTTCATTTGCGGATTTTGTACAATTATATGGTGCAATTTTGTGTATCGATCATTATTTTATAAAAATCATATTACTACAAATTTCATAATGTGCAGAATTTATATATCATATGGAAATAAACTAAGAATTTGCCAAGAAAGTATACTAGGAAAAAAATTAGTTTGGGGCTTTACGGACAATAAATTAGTAATTTATTTTTTGAAATAAGTTGTGTGCATTGATGCTAAAAGAATTGACTTAATGAAGTATTTGTACCTTAACTACCGTAACTTATATTTTGTTATAAAGTGAAATCGTTATCACTGATGTTATTTTACTGGGAAATATTTGTGTGTTGTTTTCTTCGATATTAAAAAATTGCTATTATTAAATTAATATTTGGTGTTTTTTAATGGAAATTGGTATTAAATGTCTTGTTAATAATTTTGGTTAAGTTATATATATATATGTATGTGTATGTTAACTCATGTAAAACAAAAGTAAAAAAAAAAATAATTCTGAATCCAGTTTGCATATGTATATGCACGCATATACCTATATGTGCACCTTATGTGATTGAAGTTACTTAATGGAAAAGTTGCGTTTAACACTTTTTTGCCTGTTTTAAAATTTGTTATTTTATCTGTTAATGAGCTTATAGAATTTTTGGTGTGCAAATTTGTTCATTTGCAGTAAAATTTCTCAATAGATAGTTTAATTCCAATGCTATAATAAAAGACTACATTTTAGTAAATTTAATTTTGGAGAGAAGAGTTAATTATTAAGTGAAAAAAATAATATTCTAAGTTTATTTGTGTTTAGAAAAGGCAGATCGAAGATGCTACTTAATTTTTGGCTGTTTTAAAATCATTAGTGTTTGCTTATTTTGATGCAGTCCAGTCAAGCTTTATAGGCTATTAAATAATTCTGAAATTTAACACTATTATATTTACCCTTCTTTACAATTAATTCCTTATTTGTATATTTTTGCATGAAACAAATAAAATGAGATTGAATGAAGTAAATCACAAGTATTTAATAAATAAAATATCTCCCACTCTTAATGTTGTGATAAATTATGTGAAGAAAAGGTTATGCATCAATGGAATAAGCTATTTTCCTGATTTAGAATAACCTAGTGTAGTTGTTTCAAACTCAAATTGCATGTGGGCCAAATGCTCGATTTGAAAAGAGCTGATGGACCATGTTTTTTTAACTAGGTGAAAATTTCTTTATTAAAAAAATAAAAATATAATGAATAAATTTTTAATTAAAAAAAATTCTTTACAAAATAGAGATGTTTCGAGTAAATTTTAAATTTATCTTACTAAATGTTTATCGGAACATACATAAAAAGTACTAAATAATATTCCACAGGATAAATTAAAATTTTTTTCTCTGTCTGAAATCTTAAGTTTGGTACCTGGGGGACAGTTTTGTTGGTTGCACTTTGAATTCAAATTTATTGACTGATAAATATTTTCAGACTGACATTTAAAGTAATTCTAACATTTTTAATTTTTGAAAAGTGCAAAAAAAATTAATAAAATCTGTTATCAAATTTCTAAATAATATTTATATCACATGTATCATATTACTTAGCACCGTTTATAGATTTTCTGATGCATATTTCATGTTCATTTTTAATGGTAATGAAATATTTTAAACTCAAACTTCAAATCTTGAAATCTTTCCAATACTGTATTTGCTATAAGTACATAATTTAAATGTATTCTTAGAGCTCGAAAATTGCTTTGGGGGCTACCAGTTTGAGATTAATGACTTAGTGTACCTTTTATGTTAACATGTTGACTGCTTGCTGTGAGGTAATTTACTTTAGAGAACTGACTGCAACATAATTCATAATTGCTGTACTTAGTTTTTTATGCAGCTGTGACTGTAATCTTTTTTTATAAATATAACTAAGGATACATGGCTTTGGAAAAGAGAAAAAAAAAAAAAAAAAATATCAAAGCTGACGTGCCTAAATAGAAAATGTGTTCATAATCACTGCTTTTGTAACCACCTTCAATAGTTTACATTATATTCTGACTCATGTAGTTTAGTATAATTCTTAGTTTGTTCGTCATTCAATGTTTTTTTCTTATCCATGTTTTGGGTTAATCATGAAACAGTATGAAAAAAGAAATAAAGATTCTTGATACATCGCTGATGAATTAATGCATATCACTGATTCTGCTGTGGGAAAATATGTGAAGCTGAAGTGTATGTGAGTGCAAATTAACTTGTGATTGGCTACTGTGAAGAACTGTGTTACATATACCAAGTGTGAGATAACTTTCAAGACCCTTTATATTAAAAAGCCATTACTCCATTCTGAATGTTTTTTTAGCTGGAATTTTTAATAATATGAATAAATTAAATGACCCAAATCCTGAAAATTGCTATGACAGTCAACATGTTAAATAGTTCAGTTTTTCAAGTAATCCTAGGGTGGTATAACCAATGACTGAAAGTGAAAGTAATCTTCATCATTTTATTCACTCTGAGAATTTATCTGAATAAAAATTCAGTTTACATTTTTTATGAAGAAATCAAGCAGAGTAAATATATATATGTATATTGTGTATATATATAATTAATTGTGCATTAGCTGTGTGGCCTAATCTACTGAATTGCTTTTATTTTCCTATTTCATGTTTTTTGTTTAGTGCATACCTGCACACACACATACATTCATGTATTTGTGTGTATGTGTATATAAATATTATAAGATAAAAAATTTCTGACATAAGATTGTAGTAACTCCTTTAACTTTTCATTTTAATTTGGGTTATAACCTCTTTTCCTATTCTAAAAATAGTAATTGCTTATAATAAACCTCTCTAAGCTGTACCATTTCTAGATTAACAGCCGTATCATATGACTTTTACATAATGCTGGTGACATAAATGGTTTTGTGAACTTAACCAACCAATAATAATCTTAGAACATTATTGATAAACCAATCAGAATGATGTGAAAATCAAAACTTAACGCGCTCTGAATTAAGATTTTTTTCCAAACACATCACACTTCACTTCTCAACTTAACTAGAGCTGCTTTACTTGTTATCACAAAGTTATCGAAAATGTAAATGTTTTCAAACAGACATGATTAATGTGCGAAAATGTTTGTGGCAGCAGTGTTAAACTAAAATAAAAGGAATATTGTTTAAATCTCGTACAACTACTTCTTATTGTATCATCATAACTTTCAAGTAATAAAAGTTTCTTTATGGATCACCATGTATGTAATCAACCTCTCCAAATTGTTATATTTGACAAATTATATTGTAAAAATGAATTTTGAGAGTTAAAAGTTTTAAATATATGCATATATATATTGAAACATAAAAAAAAAAAAATTAAATCCATTATGTATTCAGCCTTGATTGATTTTTTTCCCCTTTTCAATATTGCCACTAGTTATTGCAGCATTCCGCATATAATTGGGTTAGGTTTAGAATTTGTATTTTTCATTATATATCTATCTTTCTACATATATGTATGTATTTTTAAATCTGATTTGTATCTTCCAATAAATATAGATATATATTTTTAAAAAATTTTCTTGGTTTTACTTTTTATTAAAGCTTACAGATGCTAAGTTTTTTTTTAAAAGCAGGAAATATGTTAAATGATTGTGCTTTTATTGCAATTCAAACTATGTACTTCCCAGTTATAAGCTGGATGTGCTACTACTTACACTACAATAATACATATGAAGGAATTTAAAAATTCCTTATAAATGCAGATACTAAATTTTATCTATGCCATAAACTATGCTAAGCATTTTTTAAAGTACCTGGAGGCATATCCTCCCACGATCTTGCTATGCTTCACACAGCAGATTTTATGCTAAAATATTTCAAAAATTCTTGAATAGTCTTGCCATTGTTCAAGAAATTTAACATGGATTTTAAAAATGCTACTTTATATTTGCATTTCAGCATGCACACTATTCCGGTATCCATAGGCTGAATGATGGACATACTGTTTAGAGGAAAGACTAACTCAGATATATTATCTTTCATTCAAACATTAAGTGAAATATGAGCCTAACAGTTATCAACAATCAGGATAATTTTTGCATCATCAAGTAAACCAACCAAATTCAAATTACCCGAGCCTTGGGCTATGAAATGATTTTCAAGCCAATAATACATTAATGCTTGTGTCATCCGTACTGTTTTATTTGCATGATATGTAACAAGAAAATCTTAGTCCCTTGAAGGCTCGAGGTCATGAATTTTTCCCAATTACGAAAATTTTACACTTGAGCATGCGAAAATTATTAGTCTAGCTTTGGAATCTTTGACACCAGTTGAAGCCTTTTCTGTAGAGGTTACCAAGGTATTTCATGGTGCATATTGCCAGAAAATACCAGTTTCAACAGTGTCGTAAATTTGTCCTGGAGATAATGTTTCACTATTAATGAGTTCAATAAATTCATCTGCAAATAGTTCAGCAGCTCTGAAGCTTTTTTTCACCTGAAATTTTTAATATCCTTATACCATAGTAAGTTAAAAATTTGGTTAGCCAATTTATCGAATATGTGCACTCAGTCTTTAAGTTCATTTCTGTATGAAATATTTTGGCTTGAGCCATTAGGATTGGGCATGTCAATGGCACGCCCTCGCTGCGTTTTTGTCTGACTTTTCAATCATCATTTTGTCATGATCATTTCTTAGCATAGTGAATAATTTTTCTGTTATTCATTGCATTTGGAGTGTCAGAATCCAAGCCCAAATTGTATTAATTTAGTTATTACACTTACGTCTAATTCTTGCACATGTGTAAGGCTTGTATTGAGTCCTGAATAAATAAATTCTCACAAATACTTAAGCGTACTGAAGGCTGGCACTAAATATTTTCCCACCTGATGGCCTCTGTGGGTCCTAAATTCTGGTACCAAATGCCTCCCTAAGCTGTAAATATTTGCCGCCCCTTAATTTTGGGACCCAGTGCTTTCTCTAAATTCTAAAAATTTTGTCTTCCCTGCAGCTATATGAGCCCTGCCACCTATTCTGGGTTTATGTGAATAACAAAACTGTTACTCTTAATTCAAAAAGCACTAAATGTAATCTTTTGTCCCATGAGTATTATTAACAAAATCTATTTTTAGCAAATGAAAAGAAATTTTTGTTAAATTTTTCCTCGGCAACATTTCTTAGCTAATTTAACTTAAATCTGTAATCATTACCAAGCGTAATGTCAACATAACAGGTTCCATACTCATTGTTATTCAATTACTAATATATAAAAAATGTTTAGGCATTGCAGCATGAGTCATTACTCAAATTGTCATGTGTTAATAAACATATGGCGATGAAAGCAAAATATAATAATGATTCCCCTGGGTTGGCATCAGCTGTATAAAATATTAGTAGTTTTAAAATCAGCACTGTTTCTATCTAGAATGTTTCAGTATGAGATATAGGCCAAGCAGATATGCAACTATGGAGCCAAATTATTAATCACAAATTTATGCTAAAATGATTGATAGGGTGCCGAAGTGAAATTAAGAATTGGGATTCTCCACGTTTTCTTTCGGAGGAAAAAATCAAACTTGCATGCGTATAGCATAAAAATAATTCCTAAAAAAATTTTTGTAGGTGGCTTTAAGATCATTCCAGATATTTAAGAACATCTATATCTCAAACTTTGTAATAAATACAGACAGGTTGTTTGTACATTTTTTATATGATTTTTCTTGTATTTACAGAAACATTTCATGTAAAATTTTTGTGTTTTAAATGTTCTATTTGGTAACCCTTATTCTTCACTGTCTTTCTGCATCATAATTTCCAGAACTATAGAACCTTTTGTAGTGTCAGAGGAGTTATTTTATCCCATTCTTCTTAAACTTATTCCTTTTTTAAGGCAGAAAGTAAACAAATAGCTTTTTTAAATGGATACTTTAACTTTGTCTCAGCCTGAAATGAATGGATGAAATGACAGTGAACATGATCACTTCCAAGAGACCAAACTAATTTGTAAATGTGAGTGGTTTGTTTTAGAGAGGTTTTACCATATTTTAAAAGGAGCAACTAAAATGAAGTAATGATTCATGCTTATCAACTTATGTTTTTAAGCCAATTAGATTTTTTGTTTTGAAGTTAGATGTATGACTATTTTAGATATATTTTAACATTTGTTTCATAAAAATGCAGCATTCAATTAGTCAGGAATGTTGTTAAACTAGTTATTTTTACAATTGAAATTAAATTGATTTCACAACTTAGTTTATTTTTCTTTGAGGTTCATGTTTTAAAAATGTTAGGGCCTTTTTTAAAAATTATATTAGAGGTTTCAGTGTTTTTGGCACTTGTTTATTATTATATATTTAATAAAACTTCATGGAATTAACAATCTTTAAAAAATATTTAAGTAAGAACTGATTAGATTCTCTCATTTTTTAACTATGCATGATAGCAAGAAAGTATTAAGAAATCCAATTAAAAAAAAAAAAAAAAAAAATTCGAGTCATAGCTTTGTGTAGTATATTTCAAGGAGTGCAAATCAAATTTCAAGGAATTTATTAATATTTAGAATAGTGGTAGTAAATTTTTAAAACGGAAATCTTTAAAAATAAATTAAAATTTTATTTAAATAAACTGTGTAACAATATATATATTTCAAAGTCTGGGTTATAATTGTGTATAACCAATCAGTTTTATCATGAAACTTAAAAATGAAGGGGGAAAAATTAATTGGTATTGTGTGCTCATGAATATTTTTCACATCTGACATGAATGAGGTTGGAGGATGATCATAGCAAAATATTTGAGCAATCATTAGTAATTTTAAACTCTTCCCTCCTAATATAGTTAGAAGGTGTTAATACAAAATAAGCTATTTGTTTTCACTTCCTTGTACGAAGTAAAGGAAGTACTGTAATCACAAAAAATTCCAGGTATCACGTTTCAACGAAAATATCCCTTTTAACCGCCATCGAATGCAATTTAATGATGTTTTTGCGTGACATCTGTACGTAAGGACAGAATAAAAGACCCCTTTTTCCCAAACAAATTATAAAACTGATTTAAAATGGATTCAGAAGAGGTATACTGTCTGAAAAAGAAAATTGATTTATAAATAAATATAATTTAAGCCAACTGAAAAAGTGTGTTCACAAGATCACTTCAGATATATTTAGCTACAATAACATGTATTTTTGCTCACGTTAAGCCTTAAGTTTTAATGAGATCTTGTCACTGTTTCTTTGATAGACTGTATACATTGCTGAAATTTTTTATATACTTAACTTTGATGCAATTAACAATTGTCTGAATAACTAAGGAATGTGTCCACTTCAGTAAAAGTTCCCTTCTTCATAAATTTCTCTGATGAGATGCATTTCTGAAATTCCTTTGCATCTTTTGTTTTATTTTCAGATTATGATGAAAATTTTTTTTTACCCCTTTCATGTGGTATATTTTTGATTTAATCATCATCTGTTAACAATTTTTACGGGCATATTTTTGTCACAGTTAATCCATGCCTGTGTTTTGTATATTTCTATCTTTAAAATGAATTCTTACCCTTTATTTCTACTTTCTTTTATTACTTTTCTGAAGCCTTGTTCTTCCATTTTAAAACTATCGAATCAGCTGAATTGAAATAAAAACAAACTAACTGAAAATAAAGTTTTCTTCCATCCCTTTCTAAGTGTGTGATTTGTAGTGGAAGTCTAAGCATTCATAAGTGTATAAATGACATCTTTTCTGGAAGTGCAGTTTGAAATCTTAGTAGGGAAATTTCAGCATTCATAAGTTTCTTCATAATGTTTTTACATTTTGGTCATTTCCTTGATCATTGACTAGATCAAAGTAGCTATACTCGGAGAGAAACAGAATTCTAATATTAATGTAACACAGCTGTCTTTTACTGGGATATGTTTAGCAGTTATCTAACAATAAAAACCTGGTCATCTTTAAGTATTCCTTTAGACTGACTGACAAAATATGGCACAAAAATGCTTTTAAGACAGTAAAGAAAAATATCTGTATCCTTCCGAGCATTATTTTAATACCACAACGACATTTTTGGTACATTTCCATTATTTAAGCATGTTTGATACATGATAGTGTTTAAATATGTTTGTACTGTACTTTTTGATCACAGATGACTATTATGTTATGATCCAGTTGCATTGGCACGTCAGGGTTAGTCTAACAGAATTGTTTTGAATATTGACAGAGAGGTTTTCACCAAATATATCGAGCTTGCAAATTCCAATGTGTTTTTGAAATGAACAGGCCATTAATCTGAAAAATTGCAGCCCAGCCTTTATCATTATTTAATAGTTTATTTTTTCAAGTAATCAGAAGGGGGGATTTCTTAAGTTTCAACATAAACTGCTCATCGAATACTTTCTCTAAGCTTCCATTTTGAAGCTGCTGTGAAATTTTTGTTTCATTGGATGCTGTACTCTGCATAAACTGCAGAGAAGTCAGATTTCATTAAACTATTTTCTGAGATTTAATACCATAAATGTTTTATGATCCAGTGTTAAAGTCTCGTATTAAGTTTTGTTTGTTTTAAGATAATTATTTTTAATAGC